CGAAACGGCGGTTGTTCAGTACTGTTGTTATTGTTCATTCCTAGCTGTGGCGTTCTGCCGTTGAAGCTCCTGCTCCCGAAACACGAAAACTTTGCCGCCCTCTCGGCGAATCCAGGGTCGGCTGAGAACTCGGCCACGCTGGATTTCAAGGCCATGGAGTTTCCCAAACTAGGTAGCTTTTCTTTCTTCCAATGGTGATCTGCAACGGGGAGGTTTAGTTTGGGCGGCGAGTTCAACGGAGTGCTGTAGCATGAAGTGTTGGCACTTACATTTCCATTTCTACCCATGTAAGAATTTTGAATTCCCAGCAACGACTCGGAATGCGGCGAGATTTCGCCGGAGCCTCTGATGTTTCCGAGCTTTCCAATCAGTTCTCTGATCACGAAGCTCTCGTTCGAGATATTGGAATTGGACGCCGCCGGAGATGAGACCATTGGACTCAGGGCTGATTCGAAGTGGATGTTCTGGTCGGTTGACTTGTTGACCCAGTTGGGATTGTAGAAGCAGTCTGGGGACTGCTCCAAAGAGTAATTCCGGTCCGCGGTGGAGGACTGGATGTCTATGGCCGTCGAGAAAGAAGACCGCCATGCCGGCATTGAGGATGCTTGTTCAAAGTGAAGCGGAGGTGGGATTCCGGCATTTAGGAAAAAATCATTCTCCATGATCGCCAATATGTCAATTGGTATCAAAGACTGGAACTTTATAATGTTGCAGCTGCAAAAGATTGTTCTTTTTCAGGTTTTTCGGAAAGCAGGCGAGGTGGTTTCTGAAAGAGAAGCAGAGGAAGTAAAAATTTGGGTGTGGAGATAAGAATGTGGGGTTTGGATATATATGATTGTGGAAGAGAGAAGGAGAGTAATGAGTGAATGGTTTGGTGTGTAAAAAGCTTAAGCAAAAGCAGAGAGACAGAAAGAGAAAGAGAAGCAGAAAGAAAAAAGAGAAGGAAGGAGGAGAAGGGGAAGGGGGTCAGTTGTGGGGTGAAGAAGTTAAATAGGGGAGGGAGGGGAGGGAGGGGAAAAAGAAAAAGGTAATGCTAGGGATAGCGTGTATTTAAATTATATTTTATAAATTATATGATGTGGTTTTGAATTGAATTATTATTATTTATTTCTTTTGAACAAGTGATGATATTTTAAGGAGGTAGAGGAGTGAGCTAAGTTTTACAATGGATTTGCCACAATAATGCGGTTAAACTTTGCATCTAGTGAGAATCGAACCTAAGATCTTCCACTTATAAGCGAAAAAAAATGATACTAAGTGGCGGATTTGATAACTACTTAAGTGTTGATTAATGTATTTTTTTATATTGATGACATGTTACATGATTTGCAGATGCTGTATAAAAAGTTAGTCTACCTAACTTTTTGTGATTTGGGTTTTGTGTTGGAAGTGTTTAGAATAAGCAGTATTCTAAATCATTCTAGTTCATAAGGATTTGTTTTATATGTGTATATAGTCATTGCAATGTCATGTGTCAATATCAAAATATCTGTATAATTTTTTGTCTGCATAACATTGTATCGTCTGCGTAAAAATCATGGCGGCAGTAATTGAGCTACATAAGTTGCTTGTTCTAGTGTTTTCTTTACAATAATATATTTACACTAAAAAGTGAAGGAAGTAAATTAGTATCGAATTTTCATTCATAAAATTCGAACCTAAGACACTACGAGTGAAACCAATAGATATTAATATAATTGGCACACGTGTTTGAGTAGTTAGTTTTATGTCTTTTTCTGCATCCGCAAAAGGCGGGTAGGACGGTGGTTGCCGGGCCTTGGACGTCAAAGCACCTAAAGTGTCCAATTGTCCAATTTCCTCTCTCGAAGTAAGCAAATCCACATCCACTGCCCCTGGAACAAGGCCTGGAAACCACTGCCAAAGTGTTTCTCTCTGCCTTCCTTCTTTTTCTTTGGGTTTTGCTTTCTATTTTTAAGGAACTTTATGGAAGAATTAGAATTCTATTCATGTTGGCACATAAAGCATAACTCTTCCATCAGGCAATCGCCAATTGGAAAACACTCAGCCAATTGGAAGAGCGTTTTGTATAATAATAAAAATTTAGAGATGTCTCAAATGACGGAAAAAAACTCGCACAAGATTAAATGAACGTAACATTTTTTATATAAAGTAAAAGGCAAAGTTTTTGGTAGGTAGAAGAATACACACGCATGTATCACGTACATAAACCATGAGAACCATTTTGGGGTTGGACCATTTGAGGGGTACAACTCATCATGGCTTGGGTTGTGAAGGTTTTTTGGGTTTTCCAATTCTAACTTTGTTGAAAGCTATCAGAGCTTTTTTATGATTTCCTCTCCAACCAAGTTGACTTCATGATGTTAGAATTCTTAGTCAAATACAATAGTTGTCTAACATTAAGCATATTAATCGGGAAAGTATTCTTAAATTATACCATTATCTTTCAAGACAAAACTTCATACATGAATTCTCAAAATATATTGTAATATCTTTTTACATTGCACGATACCTTACAAAATAAAGCATCAAGCTCGAATTCTCAAGTTTTTCTTATGTTAGACTTTCATGTCTCCTAATTCTTTAATCGAATTATTAAAACGAAATGAATTTACTACACTCTTCATCTAATTACCAGAATATATAAAGAGTATCCCCACTAATCAGGTCTGGTTGCAAATTGGACCATTTTAGTTAACTTTTCTCTTAGGTAGTGTTATTCACACATTTCTTTTTTCCTTCTCATATATTCTTGTTAATTTTTGTTTATTAATTTTCTTTAATTCATTCGCTCCAACGGGTGAAAATTGAGAAGAATGTATAAGAGAAAAAAATGAATATGTGAATAACATTGTACTTATTTTTTTCCTTTAATCTTTGGTTGTGATTGGGGGGCCGTTTTGGTACCTAAAAATATGAAAATTCATTATTCTGGGACATATGTGTTGGACCTGCTAATTTGACGCAGTTTAAAATAATGTAAATTTTGGCGGGGAAGGGGTTAATTTCAAGGTAGATATTCTCCATTCTCTCTTTTTTAATTCATCATCTTCCTCTCTCTTTGTTAATGTAATTTTTAAGAAACCAAATTTATATTCAGCAATCATTTGGGTCAACAAATGGATTGTTGGATTAAAAGTCAAAGTGAATTACCTAAAGAATCGTGCTCTTCTATGGACTGTGAAGATATAATGCATATTAGTCATATATTAATTTGGATCTAAAGATTTAAATATTTGACAACTTAATAGAAAAAATAAGAAAATAAGTTTTTTAATGATTCATTGACTTTAAGTTGGTTTTATTTTATTAATTTGTCAAATATATTAAATCTTTAGATCCAAACTAATACAATCGTGTAGCTAACTTGCATTTAGTTCACAAAAGTACTCAAAATGAGAATTTGAAGAGAGCAGGACTGATTAACTAAAGCACTTTATTTTTTTATTGAATAGTTAAAATCTAATACACAGAGATGTTTAATCAAACAAGTTAGAGAGTGAGACACCCAAATCAAAAGATCCCTTATTTTTATGGATGGTTAACTTAGATTTCGTCTAAGTCCGTGCTAAACCAAAATTTTAATTTTTCATCTTCTGGAAAATTAAAAAGATATTCTTTAACGTGTTTCGGGCTGGTCAATGATTGAATTAAATGAGCAACTCGGCGGTTAACCCGGTTTTGGTCGGGTTCACATATCGGGGCCAACTACTCTGCCTGACTGAATTGAGCCAACATCAACCCACTTTCTAAGAAATACAACAGAAGTTCAAGCACTTCTTCCTATTATATTTATAACTGTTTCCCAGCCTTGAGGCATTGGATTGAAACTTTTCCTACTATTTTATAATTACTTCACACATTTGTCCACCCAAACGTGGGAACTTCCTCATGAAAATATAGTACCATACATACTCCATTGTACACTCCTTTGTGGTGGTAAAAAGGTAAGGTGGTGCTGTTGGTGACTGTAGTTGTTGTTGCTTTATACATGATTGTTTGGTCTAGGGATGCTCAAGTCTTTATTTTGCTTACAAATGCTTGGAGTTTGAAATGAACACTCATGACATCCATGGTTGTCTTGGCCATAGCATTGTATTAGGTTTGTATGTTTCCATGTACTTCTTTTACATACTCCTCTTATATGGGCTGTCATATAGACAGTAAACTAGCATTCTGTTAGGTTAAACTGTACATTGTCATCATCAAAAACAGTTAAAATTGCTTTCGCTTCTTGCCAAAAAAATGTACAGAGAGTATCTTTTATGCCTCTTATTTCTTTTGTTTTTAGAGAAAATATTGCCATCGTCCCCTAGGAAGGGGGACACCAGAAGCCCGATCAAACAAAAAGAAATTAAAGTACTGCCATCGTAAAACTAATTAGTTGTGAAAGTATGAGTCTAAAAAATTATTAATGAGTTGGATTTGAGTTGAGCTTGGACATCATTCCCAAATTAGGGATCTCGTGTTATTTTTCTAGCACATTGAGTTGCATTTTGATCCGTCAAACATGTTAGGTTTTATTTGACTCCCATTTTTTCCCCCACATGCACAAAAGATGTTATGAATTTGTATGTCACTTTTATGATCCAAATAACTAACTAATCCATGATATATATTGATAACATCAATGAGCAAGTCATGACCTTAAAAACATTTTCAATGAGCAATATAAAAGAAAATGCTCACTTTTTAATAAGTTTGAACATTAATTCAATCAGTTCTAAGATTTTAAGAAATCATCATTAGAATTTAGATATGCCTATTTTCTTCATGTAACTTTCAAGTTGGAAACCACAATATCCATAACTGGATAGCATTTATGCATGCCGCAAAGCCCTTTTTGGACTTTTGAGTGGCTAGAATTTTCTAGTCAAAGAAACACGTACCGTGTCAGACCCGGCTTGCATGCACCTTCCCCAAACAATTTAGGGCACGTAAAAATGCATCACATGAGATTTTTGGCCTTCCCTCATGGGTCATACATATATGCAGATGCAGATGCAGATATATATATATATATATATATATATATATATATATATATATATATCCTCATTTATGAATCTCCTGCCGATCGATCGATGTACATTCTAGCCGTTGTATTGGAACGTATTTATGATGCATCCAACTGCATATACAGGTACGGATACCATTTCGATTAATATGTGAACCGACATCTGCGAGCAGCATATTAGTTTTGAATTAGCCCCTGACATTGAAGCTAAGATTATATAAAAAAACAACAATTTATAGTTATACATACATATACACATGAATATTATATGTGGAGCAAAATATTAGCACCAATATATAGCACTGGTATATCACATCGCCTGGTTTTACATTTGCAACATAAACAACCATGAAAATGATTCTAATATAATTAGGTTAGCTAAGAGAGCGAGCTTAGCTCATGAAATAGTAATATAATTGTTACGAATGTATGACTTTGAAATTAATCTGGTCAAAGTTAATGTATTCAAAAGTTTTCTACTACATAATTTATCAATTTCGTGGCATGGTAAACCGGGCAACTCCACCGTCCTAGTTCTCAACGCAAGATTGTTCTTGGACATTAATAATGTTGTTGGGGGAAGAGTTTGGGGTCAAATGTGTAGTATATAATTTCTCTGTCATTTTCAACTTAATTGGAGAGGTAGGCCTTGTTGGCTGAAAGGAAATGAGGACAGCTCAGCTGCCAAGTCAGCACAAGTTAGTTAGAGGAAGTTAAAGAGATAACAGGAAGTTAGTTAGTGTGGTTAGAAGTGTAATGAGTAAGATGCAACAGTTTATAAATCCAAGGGTAGTACAATGTAATTCATTCATTCAATCTATAATACAAAATACTACCTTTCTCATTGCTTCTTCTTTCTCTCACCTTCGATAGCTTCATCTTCTACATCTCTGAATTTCTTGCAAATCTTCCATTTTCTGCAGTTTCTTAGTTCAACTAATATGGTATCATGGCCGAGGAACAAATGGGTGAATCTTCTGCTGTATTCTTCTGCAAATGATGGGGTTTCTATGGTGGTTTTCTGAGCTGCTGGCATAAAGGGATATCAGGTTTTCCGTGTTCATATATGCTCTTGTTTCGCATGTAAGGTGTTTGTGATATTGTATGAGTAAAGTTTGATAAGATTTTCATGGATAATTGTTTGAAGGCCGATACCATTTCTTGCCATGATATGATATGTTTGATGAATGTGATGAACAATGTTTGATAAGGCCGATGCTGATTGTTTAATTTCAATGAAATTGGTTGAAAGTTTGAGTTTCTTGCTACGGAAGGCCGATGCCAGTAGTAAAGAATTGTTGAAGAATAGTTGTTAAGGCCAATGCCAGTTACATTGTTTCAATAATATTGATTGAAAGATTGAGTGTTTTGCTATCAAAAGCTGAAGCCAATAGTCAAGAAAGTGTGTTGTATATTTGCTGATAGTTGTATGATCTTCTGAAGATTTACTTCTGTTGATTCTTGAAAGTAGTCAGGTTCTTGGAAATGTATAGTATCAGTCTTGCATGATTTGTGAATCAACATTGTGAAAATTGAAGGGCTCATTGGAATGTTGATTGTTAAGCTTCAGGATGATAATTTTGTAAAATGATCTTATCAGTTTCAATCTGTTTTGCGTGGATATGATCTATTTGATTTCTTCATTGGTGAGAATCCTTATCCACCAAAATTTGTTATCAATACTGAGACTGGTGTTACGAAGGAGATAATTGATGCATATAATAGTTGGGTTAAAAAGGAAGGAGATAATTGATGCATATAATAGTTGGGTTAAAAAGGATATGGCACTGCTTAGTTTGTTGATTGCAACTTTGTCTGATGATGCAATGGAACACATTATTGGTTGTAAAACTTCTCAAGAAGCTTAGAGCTGCTTGCAAGATAGGTTTGCTTCAGTTTCTGTTGCAATAATTAATCAGTTGAAGACTGAGTTTTACACTGCACAAAAAAGAGCACATTCAGGGCTGGTTTGGTATTGCTGTGCTTTGAAAAAATAAAAGCTGATTTTGCTATGCTGTGAGAATAAGTTCATTTTTGCTGCTTCACATTTTCAGCTTTTTTTCATCCAAAACTGTGAAAATAAGCTATTTTTAAGTGTTTACCAAACACTTTTTTGAGCTCAGCTTTTTTTTTTATACCCACTTTTTATAAAAGCACCTTAGTACCAAACTAGTACTCAGTTGATAAGTTTTTATTGCGGTTGAAATCTATAAGAGATCAACTTGTTTTTAGTAAGGGAAAAGATTTCAGACAATGATTTGGTTATAGCAACATTGATAGGATTACCACAAGAGTTTGATAGGATAAAAATTGTGATCTTGGCAAGAGAGACATCAATTTCAGTGGACTTTAGAGCACAATTGTTAAGTGCAGAGTTGATAAATGAATCCAGGATTTCCTCTTTAATTAATTCTATGTCTGCAATGTATGTACATGGTGAAAGTTCCAATTGCAATGGGGGTCAAGGAAGGTATCAAGGGGAAAGCCAAACATGGGGTCTGGCAATTATCAAGGGGGTTCAAGTCAAGGGCCCTATTCTTCTCAGAATAAGGGGTTGTATAACTCTAACATATACTCTTCTGGAAATAATTTTTCAAGGCCATATTTTGGGAATCGATACAAAGGCAACAATGGTTTCAACCAATCTGGGTTTAATGGTTCTACTTCCACTAATGGTCCTAAACAAGGCAGCAATTGGCAAAGCTGGAATGGTAATATGAACTACAAGTTATCTGTGTCTCCTGAATGCCAAATTTGCTTTTGGAGGGGGCACACTGCTCCAAACTGTCATTTCAGGACTACTAATGCTCAGGGTAATGTTTATGTTCCACCTATGGTTTGTCAAATATGTGGGAAGAAATGGCACATTGCCCTTGAATGTTATCACAGAAACAACTATTCCTATCAAGCTTCTGCCCCACATGCTTCAATTACTGCAATGACAACTCAAGGATCTCAAGGGTTTATTCCTAGCAATGATGCACAACAAGTTCATTATTTCAATGGTGCAGACACATGGGTGCTTAATACTGGTGCACCATACGACAGCAAATCTGGAGAATCTGAATCAACTAATGCCTTATAATGGAGAAGAGAAAATCATTATAGGGAATGGTCAAGGTCTGGAAGTAAAACATATTGGATCTACAATATTATTTACTCATGATTGTTTCTTAAATTTGAAGAATGTATTACGTATTCCTAGTATAACCGTGAACCTTTTATCAGTTAAGAAATATTTTCATGACAATGGATGCTGGTTTATATGTGATGATCTTGTGTTTTTCATACAAGACAAGGTTACAAAGGTGATACTGTACCAAGGAAAGAGTGATGGGGATCTGTTTACATGTAGTATTTTCAAAAAACTTCTCTGTTGGTAGAATAAATAAAGAATTGAAAACTGGTTTGATTGGGAAAGTGGTGAAGACATCAACATGGCACAAAAGGCTTGGGCATCCATATGAGGAAGTCTTGTCAGCAATGGTAAAAGCTTCTAAAGTCTCAGTTAGTATAGATTCATCTAAGTCTGTATGTTCTTTCTGTGTTCAGAATAAAATGTGTAGACAGTCTTTTGTTGTTAGACAAAGTAGTGCAAGTTTTATGTTTCAAAAGTTACCTTTAGATGTATGGGGGCCTTCTCTAAAGATATCCATAGAAGGATACAAATATTACATCAGTTTCATTGATGAATATTCAAGGTTTTTATGGATCTTTCCTTTAGTAAATAAATTTGATGCTTTTGTTGCTTTTGTGAAATTCAATGTTTTTGTTTCAACTTAGTTCAATACTTCAATTAAGTGTCTCCAAACAGATGAAGGGGGTGAATATATGAGTAAAATGTTCACTAGTTTTCAGGAATCCAAAGGAATTGTTCACATGATTTCTTGCCCTTACACACCTCAACAAAGTGGCCTAGCTGAGAGGCAGCATAGGCATTTAATTGAGACTGCACTTACTTTCATGTCATAAGCTTATTTATGATCTACATTTTGGTATCACTCTTGTTCATATGCAGCTTTTTTAATCAATGGGATGCCTTGTAAGGTTTTGGGAATGAAATCACCATATCAGATGTTACATAATGATGCACCAGACATTCAACACTTGAAAATATTTGGGACTGCAGTATATCTCTTTCTCAGATCATATAATGCTCATAAGTTGCAACCAAGATCAATTCAATGTGTTTTTCTAGGTATGTTATGGGATACAAGGGAATGATCTGCTACAATATTAAAACTAGCAAGTTCATAATTTCTAGACACATTATTCATGATGAATCTCAGTTCCCATACAAGTTGAAAACAATCTTGAATGACAGAGATATTCAAGGTTCTCAGTTCAAGTCTCAGACACCAATAGTGGTTCAAGTTCCAATACCAGGAATACCAATGCCTTAGAGTTCACAAATACAAAATAGCAATCAAGCTAAAGATGGTTTATCTGTCTCAATGTCTAAGAACATTTTTCTGTCACAGAATGGATCAAGGTCACATGTATCTTCATCAACAAATGATTCCCATCACTCCTCTGCCACTCTTCCTGGTACATTACCAATGTTACCTGTCTATCATGAAGCACAATTAGAGGTAATTCTCCCTATCTCTTCTACTCCATTATCATCACAAAGTCATGATTCACATACTATCAATTTTATTCATCCTATGGTTACAAGACTAAAAGGTGGGGCAATAACACATAAAAGCTATAAAGGATATATTGCTTCATTACCTGAGTTACAAAGTTCGCAAATTACTGAAGAATAACCTTTTGTTGGTGGATATTCCTTTGTTGCTTCCATCAGAGATGCTATAGAACCATCCACCTTCAGAAAAGCAGCAACTATACCACATTGGCAGTTGGCAATGCAAAAATAATATGATTCCTTGAGAGCTCAAGGCACATGGCAGTTGGTTCCACCACCTGAGGATAGGTCCATAATTGGTAGCAAATAGGTATATAAAGTCAAGAAGAATCTAGATGGATCAATATCAAGGTATAAGGCTAGATTGGTGGCTCAAGGGTTTTCTTGATTTCTTTGAAACATTTAGTCCAATGGTCAGACACAGAACAGTAAGGATCTTATTAGCATTAGTTGTAATCAACCATTGGGAATTAAGACAATTAGACATCAAGAATGCTTTCTCACATGGAGATTTACAAGAGGAAGTTTACATGAAACAGCCTCAGAGGTTTGTTGATCTAAGCTATCCAATACATGTATGTAGATTGATTAAGTCTCTATATGGTCTGAAACAGGCTCCAAGGGCTTGGAATTCAAAATTCACAAGTCATTTGCTAGTAATGGGTTTCACAATTTCATCATTATATGCTAGTTTGTTTGTTAAACAAGATGGTGAAGATGTTATCATTCTACTACTCTATGTAGATGATATAATCTTGACTGGTTTAAACTCTCAAAAAGTACAAGTTGTGATAACTGAGTTAGCTGCAGTGTTTGAATTAAAGGATATAGGTAGATTGACATAATGGGTCCATCATCTGAAAGTGAAGCTGTACGAGTCTGGGTTACACCAGAGAAGAAATATAGAGGTCCATCACCCGAAGGTGAAGCTGTACGACTCTCGGTTATGCTAGAGAAGAAACATACACACACACACACACACACACACACACACACACAACACACCGACACTAGTCGTGGCTAATGAAGCTGGGAGTATGTCATAAATATCCTCAACTGTCTCCTATTGCCATAGACATCTACATACTCTGTTGTGTGTATGTGTTGTATGATAACCCACTAGATAAACACCGAAAACGTATCTCAAAAATCTCATATCAAATCTGGATCTCAAAAGCTCAAAGCCTCATCTCATAAATCCATGATAATTCATATTCGTAAATCCATAGAATTTCATATACGAAAATCCAATAATTCATAATGTATTGTAAAATATAATTCAATAAATCATAAATAATGCATAAGACGTAAAATCATGAAATCATGATTTTCGTGAATGCAAGCTTAATATTTTATAAAAACATGCAATTTAAGAAGGGGCCCACTCACAAGTATTCCGCTACTGGGGAGCCGCTTGAACTAGGGAGGACAGGTCACTTCCAACCGACGCACCTAAACGCAAATAGAGACCATTAAATAAAACTATACCAAAACAATTGAATTTGGGAAAACAAATAGCAGGTTCGGATTCGGCACATCGAAAAACCTAAGGAGGGACCTCGTGTTCTCCTATGTGCCGCCATGGGCGGCGGACCAGGTGGCCACACGCCACTCTCCAACCCTAATATCTAGAATAGTGACTTGACTAATTTGCCTCTCAGCTTTGTAATTCTATATAACATTCATTGCAACTCCAATTTCGAATCCGCTTGCACTCAAGCGTCCGAAACGCTGAGTACTACAAGGATACACCAAGGAAACAAATCTTACCTGACC